AACATTATCTTCTAGTGATATTGTAGTCGCACATAAACAATACTGAACTTCAAGAAAACAAATCAAATATTCTGGCAATGTAACAAGACTGGAAACAAGACAGAACACCACAGATAGCAATATTATACACATACAACGGAGGTCGACCATGCAAAAAATGGACCCCAGAGAGGTCGTAGGCACTGTGAAGTATTGTATACACGAAGCGAACAGAAAGATGTTTCCATAGATCGCTTCCTGCCCTGACGATGCGAGGCATTCTATGAGTAGAGATAAGAAAAAGTGGTAATATTTTTGCAATTTGCTTGCATAATCTACAGTGAGTGCCACTTCATCACACAAATTTCACCACACTGGGCTGCAGGTTAGACAAATATGGTGTAACCATTGCTGGTCTACAAATGGTTTTAGAGCCTGCACGGGATAGATGAGATGTAGTCTGTTGGTCTGCCATCCAGATTGATTCTTGACTGTGTTCAAAACCTGGCTGTTCCCGGGGTTCCCCCAGCCTCTAGGAAATGGGTACCAGAGTGACACTCTGGGGTAAATGGAGGAACGTCGCTGTAGCTACAGAGTTACGTACGGACGGCAACACAGACCGACAGTTTCTTATCAGCTGTCTGTACTGGTGGCACAGCACTTATGGTTTATAACCGTATGCAGTGACGCTGGTTCACATCTCCCGACTTTACTTTTGTTAAATCCAGATTGAAGTTGTATGATCTCAGGATTTTTAAACTTTCAGGTATCACCCAAGACGGGATAGTACGGCCCGTACGCATGTTGTTTCATTGGAAGGTTTTTAGTCGGTACTAGGGCTGGCAGTGAAGGTTTCTAGTCGGTACTAGAGTTGGTAGTGAAGGTGTCTAGTCGGTACTAGAGTTGGTGGTGAAGGTGTCTAGTCGGTAATAAAGCTGGTAGTGAAGGTGTCTAGTCGGCAATAAAGCTGGTAGTGAGGGTGTCTAGTCGGTAATAAAGCTGGTGGTGAAGGTGTCTAGTCGGCAGTAAAGCTGGTAGTGAAGGTGTCTAGTCGGCAATAAAGCTGGTAGTGAAGGTGTCTAGTCGGTAATAGAGTTGGTGGTGAAGGTGTCTAGTCGGTAATAAAGCTGGTGGTGAAGGTGTCTAGTCGGCAGTAAAGCTGGTGGTGAAGGTGTCTAGTCGGCAGTAAAGCTGGTAGTGAAGGTGTCTAGTCGGCAATAAAGCTGGTAGTGAAGGTGTCTAGTCGGCAGTAAAGTTGGTAGTGAAGGTGTCTAGTCGGTACTAGAGTTGGTGGTGAAGGTGTCTAGTCGGTAATAGAGCTGGTAGTGAAGGTGTCTAGTCGGCAATAAAGCTGGTAGTGAAGATGTCTCGGCAGTAAAGCGGCAAATAAAGCTGGTAGTGAAGGTGTCTAGTCGGCAATAAAGCTGGTAGTGAAGGTGTCTAGTCGGCAGTAAAGTTGGTAGTGAAGGTGTCTAGTCGGTACTAGAGTTGGTGGTGAAGGTGTCTAGTCGGTAATAGAGCTGGTAGTGAAGGTGTCTAGTCGGCAATAAAGCTGGTAGTGAAGATGTCTAGTCGGTAATAAAGCTGGTAGTGAAGGTGTCTAGTC